TCCAGGATTCATATTTAAGGGGGTAATCCTGGGGCCCAGTGGCTGAGTCCTGGTTATAGGCTGATTTTACGTGGCTCAAGTATACACAAAGACCCTGATTTTAAAAAAGAAAACCCCAGGCCGGCGCCGCGGCTCACTAGGCTAATCCTCCGCCTAGCGGCACCAGCACACCGGGTTCTAGTCCCGGTCGGGGCGCCGGATTCTGTCCCGGTTGCCCCTCTTCCAGGACAGCTCTCTGCTGTGGCCAGGGAGTGCAGTGGAGGATGGCCCAGGTGCTTGGGCCCTGCACCCCATGGGAGACCAGGAAAAGCACCTGGATCCTGGCTCCTGCCATCGGATCAGCGTGGTGTGCCGGCCGCAGCGCGCCGGCAGCGGCGGCCATTGGAGGGTGAACCAACGGCAAAGGAAGACTTTTCTCTCTGTCTCTCTCTCTCACTGTCCACTCTGCCTGTCCAAAAAAAAAAAAAAAAAATCCCAACCCTGAACACCTTAAGGACAATTCTGGTAGCTGTCCAGTGATCAGACCTGTTCTCACCTATCTGTTGATCATCTTCCTGATACTCCAAGCCCTGAACTTTTCCCTTTCACCTTCCCATCTTTCTGGTCAGATGGAAAGATTTAGCAGACTGGAAAAAGGTGGAAATGGGGACATGTAGGTAAAGCCACTCCACATAGAAACTTGCAGCCGAGCCCACATCCTCAGGCCTGCCCTTTGCAGAACCCAGTGCCTCCAAGCCCTGCCCTGGCAGGAATCTGGAGTCAGTTCACTGCCTTCATCCTCTCCCCACAGGTGACTTGCAAAGCCCCTCATTGTGTCTTCCAGCCCAAATATTCCTGGACACTTGCTCATCTATTCTTCTCTCCCCTCCTCCTTTGTCTGTCCTTGTGGTTTGTAACTTTCTCTGTCCTTTGGTATTATTTTAGTGGATCAATAAGGGACAAAAAAGAAAAATAACCGTGAATTTTTAACCTCTTTATTAACAAATGCCAAGGTTTTTGTGGCTTCTGAAATGGTTTAGACTAAAGACTTTCCTCCAATGATAGCTACTGTTTGAATGCTTGTCCACTAGAACCTGGGAGTCTTTTGTTAATGGCACTAAGAGTGTAGAAACTCAATCCAATGGTGATGTTTCCAGCTAGGGCCTTTGGGAAATGCCTAGCCTGGATTGGGTCATTAGGGTGGGCCCAGGGTAGCTTATAAGGAGAGACAGAGACAAGCACCCCCACTGTCTCTTGCCACGCATGCTCTGTGCCACTGGAGGACTCTGCTAAGAAGCAGCCATCACCAGAGGCCAAGCCAGTGGGGCCTACCTAATCTTGGACTATGAGTCTCCAGAACCAAGAGCCAAATACACTTCTTTCCTTTTGTACCTTAGGCTGCCTCAAGTGTTTCACTGTAGTAATGAGACTCGCAGAATCAACGATCAAATTTTTAACTCCAAATTCCAACTTCCTAACAACCAATTCACTAAGAGTTGGGAATGAAGAGCTAATGAAGTGGCTTCATGTACTCA